CCCTATGAGACAAAATTTAAACACATTAAAATAAAATTTTCCTGTTCTCCAAATTGGATTCTGCTACATGGGAAACTGAGTCCAGGATGGGCAAAAGGGCAGCTCATACCTGCCATCAGTAGACTCATGTGAGAGAAATACCAGCTTAGTAATGGAGCACCAGAGACACTCTGCTGCTCAGCCAGGCAAACTCGCAAAAGGACCTCAGACTTGATATTTTATGGCCTACATTTTTGGATGCACATGTATGAGGGTTGGAAATGGTTAATTGTGGCAGCGAAGGAAGCTGGAGTTGGTTAGCTCTTCCTGGAACAATCCCAGGGAACTGTAGAAGTGAAATCTAGCTGGCCCCCACTGTACCTAGGTAGAGGGGTTATTGAGGGTGTATTTGCTTTGTGTATGTTTAGAGCCGAGTTCATTGTTCCTATTTGATCTTTCAGTGCATGTGAGGTAGAGACAGGCCAGTGGCTGAAGGGGGAGCCTGAGAGGGAGAGACAGGCCAGTGGCTGAAGAGGAGCCTGAGAGGGAGAGACAGGCCAGTGGCTGAAGTGACTCCTGGCACCATGTTTTTGCAAGGCACCCTATAAATTTTGGCTGCTTCTTGATTGTTGCCATAGAGCCGTGATGTGCTGTTTCTGGGATGGCTTTTTCAGAGAGCCTCACCACACAGTGGGTGTTTCTAGTACTTCTGACATTCCAAGACCTCAGCCTGGGAGGTGGAGGAGATGACACAGGAGGTGAAGTGCTTGCCTGGGAGACACGGTGGCCTGAGTTCAGATCTCCAGCTCCCCCATCCAAAGCCAGGTGTGTTTTTATAATCCCAGATGAGGAGACGGAGACCGGAGAATCTCCGGTTTCTCACCAGCTAGCCTAGTGAGCTCTAGGCTTTGTGAGAGATCCTGTCTAAAAAAGAAGAAAGGTGGAGTGATAGAAGATGCCTGATGTCAGCCTCTGACCTCTACATGTACCTTTATGGGTTCACACCTCTTCCACACACATACAGAAATAGAGACGGGAGAGGGAGATGGAGACAGAAATGGGGAGTGGGGGAGGAGCAGGGTAACAGAAACACCATACCTTGAGAAAGCATTTCTTTTCGTAGACAATGCTTCTGACAATACCTTTCTTTAAAGTTGGAAAATACTGTATGAATGCGAACAGCACATGGTAGTGCTGCTTTATCAACTACCGTCACAGCAGGGGTTGGCAAATCTCTCTAATCTCTAGCAGCAATGACTGCTGATGTCTGACCCGTGCTCCGAGTCACACATGCAGCAGGCAGTCCCTCCCTCTCCTCTTTCTCCCCTTTAGCTTCCGTATGATTTATCTACCGCATACAAGTTATACGACCAAGTATAAGCAGTTCTTTCTTTTCTTGCAGTTGGGTTTGCGTTTTACTTGAAAGGCGCCTGGACAGCAGTCCTTATTGAGTGGTTGGAGCATGTGTGAGCATCAGTTATCAACAACACACCTTCCTTCTATGATTGTCTCAATTAATCAGTCTCTAAAAATTATTTTACTGTTGTGTGATCTGTGCACATGTACATTGTGGTGCATGTACACCTGTATGCACATGTATGTAGAGGTCAGCTGACGTCAAGGGCTCTGTTCTACGGCTCTTCACCTTAGTTTTGGAGATAAAACTTCTCACTGAACCTGGTGATCGCCAAGGATAGACTGGCTGGCCAGCGGCTCCTGCCTTTGTACCTCATCTCCTCCAGTTCTAGAGTTAGAGACACGCACTGCTCACTGGTCATTTACAGGCCAGCTGAAGGTTTGAACACAGCTCTTCATGCTTCGCACAACAAGCACTGTACCTGTGGGATCAGATTTTTTCTGAAAACTTCTTGTCTTCAGAAGCAGAACTTTTGCCTCACTTGTAACCAACTTAATAATATGCCTCGAGATAATTCAGAGCCATGAATTCCGCTTGCTGCCCACCGTGCACTGAGCATGTTTAACCGCCTGCCTTTAAGATAGCAGTGGAACCAACCTCGCGAAACTTTGCACTTCCCATGCATTCAGCTTTTACAACGCAAGCTAACTGCATGCCTTTAATCTTAAACTATGTACTCTTCCACACCCCTGACCAGTGTGTGTGTGTGTGTGTGTGTGTGTGTGTGTGTGTGTGTGTGTGCATGTGTGTGCATGTATGTGTATTTGTGTGCATGTGTGCATATGTTGTGGTTATCGTTTGCTAAAAGAAGCCAACAGTTTGGAAGCAACCTTTAACAAAACAACCTTTAACAACCTTGTGGATATAGGTTGATATCTGTTTGTAGTTCTGAGTGTTACTCTGGGCCAGTAAAGTAACTTCTTCCCTGTAAAACTCAGCTAAAAATTTCTGAGAAAAAGTATTCCTTATTCCTTTCCTGTGCCACATTTTCTATGTTGCTCAATAAATACAGAACAAAGCTCGTAGGGACAGGCAACAGGGACACACACACACAACAGACAGACAACAGATAGGCCCCAGACCACAACCCACAGAGAAATGGAAGACACAAAGAATTCCTACTTGGGCTTGCTCCTGATCTAAACTATCCCAAGAGGAAGTCTTTTCATTTCTAAAGGTGACATTAACACATTTACC